TTTTTATTTATTGAAAAGGTACATATTATAAGTACAAAATGTGTTATTGTTGTTGCACATTTTTAATTACTAAATATATATATGACAATATTAAGTACCTACCTCATACATAATTTTGATTGATATAATATAGTACAAGGTACAGTTATTTTATTGGGTTCATTAGTGTCACATTAAATGTTTTGTTATTATTGTATTAAGTTATGAAGTTGTGTGGCGTATAATGTAAATATAATTTAAATTTAAATTTAATGATAAATTATTTCTCCAACACAAGCTGTATAAGCTTACAGAAGGTAGGTCAAAGGTCAAAAGTAAAAATTTCACAGTAGTTTTCACAAGCACCGGGAAAAACAACATAAAAATTAAGGAAAAACGGGAATTTTTACGCAAAATCGGTTTTCAAAAAAATCGATTTTGGTTTTTGGTGTAACTCTAAAAAAAATTAATGTATATAAAAGAAATTTAAACTGGTTGTTTACATTTGTTTTTTCTGTACATGATAAAATTTTCGAAATATTATGATTTGTTTTGAACTGTTTAGGAACATTTTAATTTTCCATTTTTTTTTAGTTTTTTTTCTAAAAATATCAATAACATTTTATTTGTTGGTTAAAAAGTTTAAAAATTTAATAAAAGGCTCCTAGTATATTGTTTCAAAGGTAGATGAAAAATATTAATGATCCTTCTTTACAGTTTTTATTTATAATTATAAGCATTTAAAGTTCAAAAATTGACAAAATATGGAAAAATCACGAAAATTAGCAAGTTATTTTGAGTTAAGAATTATCGTAAATATTATTCGTGGGTACTTGAAACTTCTAAAGTACACTATTATATAACTATGATAGTATCAGAATTTGTTGTGGATGTCTAACTCGTTATAAGTACCTAATGGATATTGTGATATGATTAATTTGGAATTTATTATAGGTATAGGTACCTATAATAGGTCAATTTTTTTTTAATACCATGGATAAGTATATAATATGCGTATGCCTTATACCTAGACTGACTACCGTCTCTATGTATATATAATAGATATATCTATGATAGTATCAGGGATATATGTACCTAATGGATATTGTGATATGATTAATTTGGAATTTATTATAGGTAAATTTTTTTAATACCATAGATAAGTATATTAGTATATAATATGCCTTATACCTATACTGACATACCGTCTCCACTCAGAATCGTTTTTCTTATACAATGATATTATATCATATTGAATTCAAATTTAATACCATCCATTATAAAGTGAAAGTTAAAATTGTTTATAATATACATATAGCTCAAAAAGAGTCAAAATATTTTGAAAATATTATCATGAATACTAATATATAAACATTTGGGTAAAATTTAAAGTATCTAAGGTAATTCGTCTATATTTTAAGAGATGATCGATTTCCTCGATGACAGACAAAATGTTTGATGGCAATCTTCACATTTGGAGAGAGGGGGTGACGAGTTGCAGCATACTGAATATCGAATAATATAATATATCGATTCACGGCAGCCATCTCTTCTTTCGGTCAGCTGCCACCTCCATTCTCCAGTAGTCAGAAAATTCAGTACAACAGTACAATATTACTTTTAAGTTTTTAATATATTATACTAATCAGTACCAAATCGTTCAACGGTTGAACTGGTCCTATTACAGACTTCTCTACTCTTTACTTTCATCATTACTGTTGTATCTATTAAAGGATCAGATATAATATTAAGATTGTTGTACTTGAATTTTTTCGTTGAAGCCAAAGTCTGTTCATAGTTCAAACGGATAATATAATATATTTATTATACCACTTATATTACCTGGCATCGTCATCTTCGTCATCTTGGGACAATTATAACTTATATTATTATATGTGAGTATAAAATATTTAAATACATAATATACAGATAAATAATAACCCTATGTTTAAAATTGAACAAATTTCTATATAATAATAATTAATAATTATACAAAGGACCCAGGTAGGTAATAAATTAACACGTGTTCTGTAATATGCAGCATACAAATGTAGAATATAATATTTTATAATAGTACTGGAAATCACATAATATTATTACCTTTTGCAAATAGTAAAATATATACACATAAGCGAAATTATAGAGCTCAAATATTAGCGGTGATAACCCCTGTGTGATTTTTGAATTACGAATGTGTAAAAGAACAAACATTGTCACTTGTCCAGACAATGTTAAATAATATCAAAATTTAAGGCTTGTATAACGAGTTAAAAAATTTTACTTGACCGTGAGTTCTTAATTATTGTTTTTAAATTAACTTCTAACTTAAGGTCTAACTTAACCTAGGTAGTTACTAATCAGTTAATACAATTATTACAGTCACGTCAGTACGTCACACAGTATCAAGTCGCTCACGTTAAGAGAAGCTACACGGACATTTATTGTCTCTGTCTTACAAGTGCGTAACATAGTAATTAGTAATAATTGTATGCTCAGCAGATCACGATTAGCTTCGTTAGCTTAAAAATTAAAGTGAAATAGCCTATTATGAAACTTGATGGTAAAAACATTACCTGTGTTTTAATGCGGTTTTTTTACGATAGTTCAATTTTTTAGCAAGTTTTGCGTGTATAATAAAAAATTAAATTAAAAAAGCTTATCTCAGAAGTCATAACTCACTTGTAAACTTATTTATCATACAACACCCACATATAATACTTAAATAATGTACTTACCATCAAGTTTCATAATAGGTCGATTTACTCTAATTTTCAAACTAACGAAGCTAAACCTCGATTTTCTAGGTTACGCACTTTTAAGACGGAGACAACAAAATTTGTTGATATTTAATTTGACATTTAATGTCCATGCAGCGTCCTCTTAAATGATTTCCTAATATGAAACCATTGAAACCTATAATAACCTATTTAAATATATTTTGTTTCATACAAATTATTATTTTTATACAAAAAAAAAATAATGGTGAAAATTACCTATTAATAAGTAGGTAATGTTATAATAATGCTATAAATGTTAGAAAAAGAACTGCAACAACTCTACAGCAGAAAAAATTTTACAATTTGTAAAGAAAAATGTGTACATACCTAAGACGTACTGGGTAATTAAATTTCATTGCGAGAGTCAGCTCGCTAATTTTCTAATTTAGGTGGACAGGGTATATAATATGATCTATATACTTGTACCACGCAGCTTTCCAAAACAAATAAATGGAAGTGTAGGAAATCAGATAGACTATATGCAATTCCAAGTGCCACTCTATTAAATATTATAATAATACAATTATAAATAAAAATAAAACATTTACATTAGTTAACTATTTTTTTGTTATTCCATAAATACTATATATTATGATTATTATAATTGTTATAAAATATGCGAAATATGTGAAAATTTAAAAAAATATTATAAATATTTTAAATACTATTAATTAATATTTGTTTGAATTCGTGATTCACATTGCCTGTAACATATATATTATAATATGTATAATTTTTTGATTTCACGATTCTTATAGTTTGATTATTTTTTATTTATCAATACACTTTAAAAAGTTAGAACGTAATATTATGTTTAAAAATATATAAATTATGATTTATGAAATGACATTATAGGTAGGTATATGTATTTACAGATATCTATCTTTATATATATATTTCTACTGTACGTGTGTTTGTAAGCGAACTCCTCCTAAACGGCTGGACCGATTTTGATGAAATTTTTTTTGTGTGCTTTAGTTAGTAGAATGTTTTAGATTCACAATCTAAAATTTGGTAGGCCCATTCCGTAGAGGAGCTCAAACGGGAATGTTGAGATTTATGGTGAATATTTTTGTTTATAAATGATTGCCATGAGTTATAAAGCTATTGTAATAAGAAATATTGGTTGCCTTTAAATCATAAATAATTAGAAATAATTTATAAACAACGTTAGTATAATTGTGTTTAGAAAAATTGATGTTATTTCAAAATAAAGAATAATGAAATTCATTTCATACTTTATTTAATATCCTAATCGATTGAAATATCATGCAAGACAACATCTGTCGGGTCAGCTAGTATATTATATATTATTAAAATGTAATAATCAAATAGTATCAGTGCAACACAATTGCGACAGTCTTACCTTTATACTTTGCATAAGACGCAACACGATTGTGCTCTGTGATATATAACCTAGGTGTTGTTCTTATAACAATTTTCCAATACACAAGGTACTTAAATAATACAGTCAGACTTAATTAACTCAAAGTTTATGTTAAAAGTTCGAGGTATCGACGATTTTGATTTAAAGAAATTCAAGTTAAACAAGTTTGACAGTATTAATATATATTATTAACATTATAAACATTTGTCATATTTTTTTGGACAAATATTACTATAAAAAAAATTTAATTTGTAGTTTTTGGTGTCATGCATATTAATAGTTTTAAATATTGTATTCTGTGTGCTAAGGAGAAACGATTTTTAACCAACCCAACAATTTAATTGTGTTGTCAGTCCTAAGCATGTGAAATTGTAAGGAAAATAATTGTTAAAAGGTTATATTGCGTTTTTTACATGTAAAAAGTTAAGACGGACACAAGACTAGAAATAATAATACATTAATGTAATATGTTGATATGTGATGGATAATTATGTCTATTGACCATATTAAATTAATATAGTTTACAGTATTTAATAACAGCTAAACATATAGCCAGGTTTTTTATAGGGAATGTTTATATTTTAGTATACCACGTGAGGGGACTTAAAAACTTTCTATTGTAATCTCAATTTCCATATTAGAAATACATATTAATAAAAAAGTATGACAACATAGGTATTATGTAGAAATCTGAATTGTAAAGTACTCATTTTTTTGCACTGTACGGCCGATGGGGCCTAATGTTTTAAAACAAAACAACTTCCTAGATAAGTTATTGATAACAGGTCAAATAATACTAAAATAACAAAAATTATTAATATTTTAGGTTTTGTTGATCAACATTTTACAATACTACTATGGAATCATTAATTCAAATTATAAACAAGCTACAAGATGTATTTGCTGTAATTGGTGAGCATAAAATCGACTTACCTCAGATTGTTGTCGTTGGATCTCAGAGTTCGGGAAAGAGCTCGGTCCTGGAGAGTTTGGTCGGCAGATCATTTTTACCTCGAGGTACAGGCATTGTAACTCGTGCTCCACTTATATTGCAAATGATTAGGTATTCCAATACAGACCTAGAGGACATGATAAAATTAACAAATAAGCATAATATTAAATGTTGGGCATCTTTTCTTCATAAACCTGGTACAGTTTATGATAATTTTGATGAAGTAAGATATGAAATAGAAAATCGGACCGACGTCTTGGCTGGTGCTAATAAAGGCATTACCCATGATCCAATTGTACTCAAAGTTTTTACTCTTTCGTACGATCTTACATTTGTAGATTTGCCTGGTATTACAAAAGTACCTGTTGGCGATCAACCTGAAGATATAGACGAACAAATACAAGATCTTATATTAAAGTATGTGCAACAGCCAAATTCAATCATTTTAGCTGTCGTAACTGCAAATACAGATCCGAGTACGTCGGAAAGTTTAAAAATTGCTAGAAAAATGGATCCGGAAGGTGCGAGGACAATAGCTGTGGTGACCAAGTTAGATCTGATCGATAAAGGAACGATACAGGATACAACAGAACTTCTTTGTGGTCATAAAATTCCGGTAAAACTTGGCATTATTGGAGTTGTTAACAGAAGTCAAAAGGACATTAACGACAATAAGTCGATGAAAGAAACTCTTAAAAGTGAAAAAGATTTCTTAAGAATGAACTATCCCGACATATACAAAAAGCACGGTAACAAAGTGTTAGCTAAAAGACTACAAGATATTTTGGTAAAACATATAAAAAAAACTTATCCAATCTTACACAAAAATTTACAAGACACAAAGATTAGACTAGAAAACGAATTGAAAACCATCCAAACACCCGACAGCAAGGTATCGTTCATATTAAGTTTATTGAAAAATATAAACAAATCCTATTGTGATACAATATTGGGAAACAGAACAGATGTTTCCGATAAAATAATTATGGGTGGTGCGAGAATATCACAAATAATTAATGAAGAGTACTTGGAGAAAGTAAATAAAATTGATCCATTATTTGACTTAACTGATGAACAGATTGGGATTATTTTATTAAACACTGCTGGAATTACAAATAGTTCATTTGTGAATGAAAAAGCATTGGAAAACATGGTTTGCAGACAATTAAATAATCTCATTGAACCATCAATGTCTAGTGTGGAATTTGTTCGTGTAGAGATGTTGAAGATTTTTGATTCTATTGATGAAAATCTTTTGGAAACGTTAAAAAGATTTCCCCGGATAAATTCTGATGTAAGTATGATTTTTAACAAGAAGTTATTGTATAATATTAAATACTGGCTTAAAATTACAGAAAAATATCTGGTAATCTGTATAGAGAGTTTAGCTCTTATACGGTTATGGGTAATATTATATTATAAATGCATAACAATTTTTAATTTACATTCTATTTTTGAAACACGGGTGTGTATTTTTGTAGTTTGACTAAAAAGCAAGCTGGACAAGTTAATGTTTATTTTTAATACAGTTAAGTTAAGTTGATAGAAAACATTTTACAACATTTAAAGTTAATACTTTTCTTAATTTTTTTTTTAATATATAATAATAGCCAGTCATGTGATTTAAAATTATAAAAAGTAAATGTTTATACCATAAACATCATTAATAATAATTGAATGATATTAATGATTTAATTGTTTATAAATTAACGTAACTTGGATTTGCTTAAAAGTGACTCGTTCTTTATGAAGTGTTTATCAACAAAAACCAATAAAGTAAAAAATTAATTTAATGAAAATCAAATTTATAAAAAGTTAAGTTAAAAAGTATAAACATTACATATTTACCAATTAATGGTTTTAATATTTTTATTCAAATTTAAAATATATTAAAAAAGATAAAAAAAAATAGAATAATATTCATTAGGTATTTAATATTTTATTACCTAGGTATTCAATGTTATCGATGACTAGAATCAAATGTAAAACATAGACGTACAGTGTACGAATAAAGATATATAAATACTTATAAAAACAATTTTGCTATTTTATTTTAATATTATTCAATTTTTTATTATTTTTATTATAATATATTATTCTGTTTTATTAATTTACTTAATTTCTTCCCTATTATATACTCACTGTTATAAATTCTATACGGATAATTGCTAACGATTTTATAAATCATTAACAGTCAAATAATTAAATAATTAATGACACGCAGAAAGTGCAAATAAACAATGCTTGATTTGTCCAATAATTTCTATAGAATATATGTTAGGTAATAACTTATATTCTTAACCAATTATTTTCAATCATAATTGTCTCATCACATACATTACTCAAACCAATTTCATACTATCTGTATTGTCATATTATAATTTTTTTAAATTAGTGTGATTTGATAACAAATATTATTATTATTATATTGTAATCCTAGACGTATGTCTATAATAATTGTAACTGGGTTCGCCCGTTTAAAATATACAAAATAAATAAATAAATATTAATTTACATATATTTAATAATAACCACATAACCATAACACTTTGTACAAAATAATTAACTATACGTAAATTTTTTTGATTTCAGGTAAGAAATGTCCTTCACAAAATGTTGGATGAAAAATTAACTGATTTGAAAGAATTTATAAAATCTTACATTGAAACACATCAAACATGTTTAAACACTACCAACCCTAATTTTCTCTTTCAATTGGTTCGATCTTCAACTGAAATGCAAGATTCCAATATAACAGCATTCATGAGCAACACAAATAAAACCAAGGTGGCAGGGAATGATGGAGATGAAGAAGAAGACGAAAAACAATTAAAAATACAACATTTTAAACAAATGTTATCTGGCTTAAACGATTTAGACGGCACAATTGAAACATCAAAACAAGTAAAGATCCATAAATGCTTGACACAATGTTATTTTGATTTTATTAGGGAAATCATTAGAGACTTTGTACCCAAACGAATACATCACAAAATGGTGAAATTAGTTTTGAACGATTTTGAACATGAATTGGACGAAAAGGTTTTTTCTTCATATGTAATTAATCAATCGTTTAATGAAGTTTTGATTGAAGAAGAAGGAATTGTAGAAGATCGAGAACGAGTAGAGCAAATGTTATTTGCTGTCAATAAAGCTTTGAAAAATATGTTAGAAATACAGTGTTTTACATAAAAAGTATCTATATATGTATTAATGTTATGCGCTTTACTAAAATATTTAAAATAAATGTTATGCTACATTTTAATTAACTTATAATTTAGTTGTTTGCTATAAACTAATACTATTTTTTTCTTTGTATCATTTGATTATATAAAAAGTTCAAAAAATAAAGTAATTATGTATTAAGTATTAATGTTATCCGACTAACCAAAATATTTAAGAGTAAAATTATAAATAATTTGAATTAACTCATAGATACTTTTTTAATTTGCTTTAAAATATATTATTATTTTCTTTAATGCATTTTATTATGTTAAAAAAATAAGTATTATGATTTATTGTTAATAATCAAGTAAATAAATCTTTAAAAAATATGGTAGATATGCAGTGTTTCTAATAAAAAGTATATGTGTATTTATGTTATGACCTTTGTGCTTTAACAAAATATTTGCTTTTACGATAAGAGATTAAAAAAAAAATTGTATTGGTGTATTAGTTTTTTAATTACCTACTTTAATTTTAATTAACCCATACTTGTGTAGTTTGATATAAAATATTATGTATATTATATTTCTTTAATACATTTTATTTTATTACAAAAAAAAAAAAATAATTTATGAAATAAAGACCCGAAACAAAAATACCGTAAAAAAAGCACTGGCTATAGAAAAAAAGGCCCCTTACCAACGGGCTGCAACTTGTTAGCGCACATTTTATAATTTTTACCTGAAAAATCGGAACTCATTTGCTCATACGGTTATCCTAAATGTACAACTGGTTTGCGCACACGAAAATAAGGCTATATGACATAAGTGCCAAAGGTGCAAAAATGCAAATCTGGGCATTAACGAGTTAAAAAGTTAAAGTTAAGTTAATAAGTTAATTTTATATTAACTTTTTAACTTAACTAGTTACTTTTGGCTTTTCATTAACTTAACTGTTATAAATGACATATCATTTGCGCCAAAATAAATATTTTATGTAAGTAGTTTTTCTAAATTGATATATCTTTTAAAAATGATATTATATATGTATACTATATTATACTAATATTACTTTATATAAATAGTTATTTGAAAATTGCTGTCTTATAAGAATATTTTTATATAGAATATTAGAATATAGAATAGTTTCTATATTTTTGCTCTTTAAACAAAATACACACAACACCTATTAAGAGGGTATTAAAAGGTCAGGCCAAAAGGTAACTGTGCGCAAACCATGTGCATGTTTACGGCTCAACTGTTCCCAAACGAGTGGTAGTTTTGTGCCCAAAAAAGTTGTCTTTTTGGTATTTGTGCGCAAACCAGTACCGCCCTACCAACGAACAGGAAACATTCAATGATTATGCTCTAAATATTCCAAATTTTTAACTTTTATACACATTTTACTATCAGAATTATTGATATTTATATTGTTATTGTTTTTAACATAATGTATTATCGTGCTTTAAATAAGTTAAATATAATTATTCAATTTTTGTACTTTTTGAAACGAAGTTTTTTATGGCACGATACGGGGCTAGTCGAGAAAAAACGTTCCTGATGAAATACTATTTTTTATAATATATTAAACAGTTATTTTAGTCAAAACATCCAATTTTCATTCCATCATACTGATCAATCTAGTAATGCAATAATACTTTTTAAAACAGATTTGAATTCGTTATTATGCCTACTTGAGATTGGTCAGTCCACTTTTCCCAATTTCACCCCGTCAACCTCTAAAAATTTAGCTTGAATATTTTAAATTTTCGTAATTTTCAAACGTTGATTATTCTGGATTTATTCGGAATTTAAAACAGAAACTTAAAATGTTTACTGACCGATCTCTAAGATAAATTCTAACGAATTCAAATCAGTTTCAGAAATATTATCGCATTATTAGATCGATTGGTAGGAAGGAACAAAAAAAAAAAAAAAAACGGGAGCGGTAAGTTGTAGTGACTGTTCACGATTGATTAATAATTTATAAATATCTTGCGTATATTGATAATATAATAAAATCATTGATAATATGTCACAACACTGAGTATATTAACTATGTATTTATAATTATTATAACTAATAAAATATATAAGTAATAACTAATAACTAATAAGTATATATTCAATAAGTATTGAATTGTACGTAATATTTTTTTTGTCACCGAAAATTTGGTTTTTGACCACTGTTGAAGCGTTGGAAAGCGACCTTTTTCTGTTTTCTGCTATATATAGAAAATTGGACTGTAGATTAGATATAATTATACAAAAACGAGTAACCTCGTGACGATGTGACCAGTGACAAGAAAAAGGTCTGCCTGCCAACCCGACAGGAAGTCACAACAAAACCTAACATAAAGTATAATAAGAAATAATTTTAAAAGCGTATAAAAGTTATAAAAATGACTTGGAAGTTAGCATTGACTTTTTAAAAGGAATATAGCGCATAATAAATTGTACATGATTTTAAAATTCCAATATTTTTTAGTAGGTCAATTATCTATATATCTAAATCATTAATTCATAATTATAACTAGAGTCCAATCTTATAAACATATTAAAAGGTATTGTTAGGAACCACTGCTAATCATGTAATGCTATAATATGTATAACGTATATTAAGAGTTATTTATTATAATATATTATAATATTTGATTATGCGCAATAACTCCATAAACTAAGCGAGGACGGAAATGACAGAACCCGCGGTGTCCTCCGCTAAATAAGCAGTATCTACTGTGTTGACTATCATCATCAATAAATTAGACAGGACAGTTCTAGTAAAACGTTATCAACATTTGAGCTCGACAGTATTAATCCAGATAGAATTATTTTGTGTTAAATTTATTTAAGTTAATATTAATAAAATAATGTATTGATGTTTAGGTACAACCTTCATATAAGTGTTTTAATAAAAAAATATATGCTTTTTGGGGATTAAATAGATATAAAATTAAAATAAATATTATATTATATTAGATGTTAATCGTTCAGAAATATAGGGAGAAATATTTTACAGATGGGAACTCTCAAGCAGATTGGTTGGATGGCTTAAAAATAACAACCAAAAATGTTCAAGTACTTTTAAGTCCGATTTTTATGTACCTAAATGTATAAATATCATAAAATATAATATTGTCCCCCCGATCTACCGCTTATCCCACTACTTCTCATACTACGGCAACATTCACTCTCAATCACGATATCATATTATTGAAATTTAAAGCACGCTATTATTTATATCTATAATCACGTAACAATGATTTATACAAATAATAAGGTATCAACATAAAAATTTCTGATATGATATACCAATAAAAACAATCCTCCAAACTCCGTGTAAAAAAAACGCTAAGTAGGTATAAAAAAACGGCTCTAAAATTTGTGATATCAATTTATAGCTAAGTCTTTGAACTACAGATGTAATTTATGTAAAATTAGTCTGCTAAATAATATTGAACTTAGCTTGGCGACTTAAGTTAAAAATTTCAAAACACTATTGTATAACGAGTACATATAGTCGCTATACAGGTACCTACTATCATTGAAAAAGGTATAGTGCATTACTTACCAAGTATTTTTATTTGTGTGTTTGGCTACAGACAGAGAGGAGAGAAAAAATAACAAAACAAACGTCGGCTACCGCGATTACGACGCGACAATGTGGGTGCTCGAAGCTCGTAATAATTACGTTACATGACGTTTGTTAATTAAAATTCACAAATAAACTTGGGTATAGGAAGTACGGTGATGGGAAAATAATTATAGCGATTGAGGTTTTAATTATTGTTTTTTTTTAATATTATGTAATTACCGATAATAACACACGAAACACGTATAGTTTGTCACATTACAACTTTGTTATAATTTCTATCATTTTTGGTAATATAAATTAATAACTAATAAGAGTATTGTAATAGCCAATATGTAATAGTATATAATATTTATATTATACATTTATAACGTAGGTACCTACTTATTTTGTTAAGATATCAATTTAGTTCCAAATTTCAAATTTATCAAGCTTCCAACATCATTATATTTTTATCCCTTATTATAAAGACCCGAGTACACAGAACGCTGTCTTGTCATGATGGTCTGCGATACGCTGATACGGTTGTAATTAAATACAGAATTTGAATTTGATCGTCGCGATAATCATATACCTATATACATATATACGATATCACAGCTCGCGGTGACGGACTGCGTTACAATATGTGTCCGAGGTATTAATGTTGACAATGCGTTTTAAAAAATATGTTTGAGATATCGTTGTTATAAAAACCGACGTCATTTCCACCGTTTATATTATATTACACCGAATCAGTGCATTGATATCCCCTTCCCGTTGTACCTTATCGGCGATAAGCTGACCTGTCCACCGCATATTCACACACGGCACACACCAATAATTAGTGACAGATCTGCCGACGCTGTCGTCGTTTTGGTGCTTCAGTTTTCTTCGTCGTTTTTGTACTCTACCGTAACCGTTCACCGTATATACCGTCACCTGTCCACCAATCAACCGTCAATGCAGCCGCCGCCACGGTTTTTATATTTATATATTATATATGTATTATTTCTTATAATAGTTTGTATTTTCACATTAAGATATAAGATGTAAGGACAAACGCTTGAAACGGAAAGTGATAAAGAAAACTTTTATTCTGAGCTTAACTGCTTAAGGCATCGCGGAATCTTGATGGGATTTTAAACGAGTCGTTGGTTCATAGTTCATACACAATGGAACAAATCAAGGTATATAACTGGTTAGTGTTTTATTTATTATTTATACTTCCAACTATGCTTAAAATCATTAACAACAAATTGTTCTGTCCGCGTTAAAACTTTATTTTACAAAGTTTGGCCAAAAACTGCAATGCAAGGTTCCTTGTGTTTTTCTTCGAACAATTTAAAAAATATCGTAAATACTCATACATGTTTTTAAATAAACGTTTGATGTTCAAAATAACGAAAATGTATACTTGAGGTATCTAACACCCTATTATTACTGAAAGTTTAATTA